GTTAAATTTAGTTCAGATACGGTATATAAAAATTTATTAAGTTATTTCATTATAACCAGAACTGATAATTATAGAAAATTCAGTTCTGATATATTTAGTTCGTTATAGCCAGATTTTGGTATATACAGGTTCATTATAAACAGAGTCGACTGTATTTTTAATATTAATTAATTATAGAAAATCAAATAAGTAATTTATTTATAAATTATAATTTAAATAAATTTATAATATAAACTTATTATTTATACTAATATTATAAATTTTTATTAATTAAAATAAATTAAATATATTTATGTAAAGTTTATTATATTTATTTTTTTAAAAAAAGGTATTTTCTATTATATATATTATAAAAATTTTTTATTAAATTTTTAATGAATTTGTTTATTTTATAATATAATTTAAAAATTTTGACTTAAATTTAAATTTTAACTTAATATATTTATCTTAATAATTTAATATAAAAATTAAAAGAAATTTAACTCTAATCCAATATATAAATAAAAGTTAATTGTAAAATAGATTCTTTTCGTTATTAAAATCATTTAATTTAAATAAAGTCTATATATTATGATTAAACTATAAATTGCATTTATAATTAATAATAGTTACGGCATTAATAATTTGAAAATCGAAGAAATTTAAAATCACGTGATTTTGATATTCATGTCGATTACTTTATTAGGAAAGGAGATATGTCTCTTTCTCATTCCACTTAATACAACCAATCATATTGTTAGGCTTGGATTCATATTTTAAAGAATTTTAGAAGATATAATTCTTCGAGAGGACAAAACGAGAATTAAAGAAAAACATCTGTTAGAAACATTAACAATTTACCTTATCGTCTAATAACAAGACTTTCACAAAATAACGAATTACTTTTAAAAATTCTTTGAAGGCAAAGCTTTTGTTTCTCATTATCACGTTCAACCCATAAAGACATCGCGCGTACACGAGAAAGAATAAAAACACCATTTCTTTAGACAGTTCTTGAGTCAATTTAAAAGATTCGGTGTATCAACCTCTCGTCGAAAAATATTGAAACAAACTACTAAGTCCCTACATAAGAGAATATTTAAACAGGTTATTACTCGTGCAATAAATATTTTTTTTTTTTTTTAAAAAAAAAAGGAATACTAAATATTTTTTTATTGGTTTTTCTTAGAATAAGTTTGAATAAACCTTCCAAATGAAATGCATATACGAAGATTCATACGGTGCCATGGAGAAAATTCCAGTATTTAAACCTACGTATGAGCAATTCAAGGATTTTAAGGCATTTATAATGGCAGTTAGACCTTATGGCATGAGATCAGGAATTGTGAAAGTAATTCCACCAAAAGAATGGTAAGTATCTGTAAATTATTTTACGTGTCATTTTTGTTATTTGGTCGTGTTCCTAGAAGCGTTACTTACAGTTATATACACCTATTTTTATATTTTTATATATTTAGGAATGATAAACTTCCAAAGGATCTTTCGGCACAATTGGAAAAAATTGTTATTGATAATCCGATTAAACAAGAATTTACGAAGGTTGACGGCAAATGTAGGGTCAAAAACATGGATACAAATGCAAATTTCTCTGTAAAACAATGGGCAAAGTTATGTAGTCATCCTGATCATGCCACCCCTATATACGAATCTCATTTTTTACCGACAAAATTAACTAAAAATGTTGGAAAAAAGAGAAAATTTTCTTTGGATAACAAGGAAGCTTCTCAATTAAAATCAGACTTTCATTATGCTAATAAGTCTCCAAGATCAGATAATACATCTAAATCACGTGATTTAACAGTCGGTGAAAAAATTACGGAAGTCACACGTGACTCGGAACCTGTTACTACATTCCAAAATGTTCGAACAGACATTCATGTTAATGAATCTGATGGTTGTGAGACTGAAGATGAAGTAGAAGAAGTTCTTTTAACTTCTGAAAATATGTCTAGCACATCCATGAATATTACTAAAAATATATTTGAACAAGTA